TTAAAGAAACTTGGCCCTTGAACCTGCTGGATTGCAGCAACACCTTTTGGCAGTGTCATTATGATTTTTCTTTTGATCTCTAAGTCATTGTGTTTTAATTTTCTGCACTGTTATATATTGTTTGATTGCATTGTTTGTGTCGTATCCATAGTAGAGACGATTTTACCAGCAGATATTGGCCGATTGCAGACATATTGGTATTGTATCTGCACTGGTATATATGTTACCTGATATTTGCCGATATGAATATATATGGAATAATATGAATATCAATACTGTGGCAAGCAGCACAGACACAGTGCAGTAAGAGAGAAGAATCAGCTCTCAGAAACGTCATATATAATTGGTTGACAATAAATGCATGTTAAATTACTTAACATGTTAAATAGTATTTAATCTAAATATTATTGGTTTAAGAAAGCAGCCTTCTGAGTACCTTTGAATAGTCAATGCATAATTGCTGCACTATCCACATAGAAAAGCTCTATTCTCAAAAATTCACTATATCAGCCAGCAGTGGAATTTTCCCCTCTTAAAATCAGTAACAGTTTCCAAGATCCTATCTTGGCTAGACTAACTTGGACAGGACTCTGTTAAAGAAGAAATGTGACCAATGGTTAAACAAACAACAACATACCTTTAGATCTTCTATTATTTGGGGCGTATGCCACCTCTGTGGAGACTGAGCGTGTTTGGAGTAGTACTCTGCAACTTCCTGGAGAGAAACAGTATTTACACAGTATTGTCAATATTAATCAATTTTCACCTCAACACTCTCTTTAACATCATAAATAAAGAAATGTAGAAATATTTCCTCTACTTAACCGTGTGTTAATGTTTGTTATGTCTGCAGGTATTTCTAAAGGAGAAATAAATGTGCTGTTAAATCTGTGGCTCTGTTGTTTTAACAAGATTTGCAATGCCATCTCTTCCCATCACACTGCTGCACTGTATTAAGACTGCTATGATGCGCAGCCAATGGTGATGGTTCTGCGTGCAACATAATTTGTGTAATCAATAGACTCCTTGTTTTCCCGCACTAATGAATTAGTCCTGTTTGCATGAATGAACTGGTGTGCTCTGTCAGGTCCTTTCATATGCAAGTTAAAAGTCCATCTGGGAAAACAAATCTCGCTTCTGTTCTTGGCAGCTCTTGGAACTGACCTCCTCAGCAGGAAACACATATTGTTTCATGAAGTCTTTGACCTGCTGGCGAACAGCCTGACCTTTAGCTGTCTGGAGGAACAGATTACCTTCTGTAGGGCCTGTGTCAGACCTGGCCAGAAAAACGTCACACGTTAGAAAGCACACAAGGAATAACGGAAGCAGCTGCTGGCTTAAGTTTAGTCAGCAGGTGGAATCAATCTGTTATACAACAATAAAACTGAATTTAGACAATATTCTACTGGTAAATTGGACTGTCCAATGCTGATTATATCAACTTCTATTAATGAGTAGTACTAAAATAAATACTTAATAAACAGTCTACAGTGTTTCCTCTAGGATTTTTTTTAGCAGTGGGGGCAGGCCCGTCCGAACCCCCCCGCCCCCGTCCCGTCATGCAAACGTTTCACGTATGAAACAGAAGTGACACTTCGCTGCAACACAAACAAATATATTTACCGTTTTAATGTTTCCAGATGTTTGATATCAGGACGTTGAGCTGAGAACTGACAAGTTGAACGTTGTCCAATTAAAACGGACCCACCGCAGTGACGTTTTTGGTGGAGCTGTTAGTTTAATAGTCGACTTGGAAGAAAGCGAAAGTTTTAACAATAAGCTACATCAAAACAACAGTATGTGGAGTTAAACTGGACAGCCCCAATAACCTCTGAATAGTTCTACTTGTTGTTAAATTGCAATGTGAGCGGTAGCCAACGGGGGTGCATTATGTCGGCAGGATCATTTAAAAGGCAACCGGGACTACATTGTGCTTCTGCCCCATTTCTGATACCGTGGCGGCAGAAATTTAACAGCGGCGGGCCGCCACTCCAAAATCAACACAGAGGAAACACTGAGTCTATGATATACTTCATCAACGTTTATTAAACTCAATGGTTGTCTGTGACAACTTATGCTTAAAATGACACCAGCAGAGTAGGTATGAGTCAGGTAGCTATTTACAGCATCCAGCATCTTTTCAAAGCATTTGTTGTGTCACTGTATTGATCAACAACCCCATGTAAAAACATCCACAGATTTTCTTATGTATCTCTAGTAGCCATAACTGCAACCAACCTCTGTGCAAGCTCCAAGGCAAGCTTAGCCAATGGCTCCACACACTGGCTGAACTCGGCTGCATTGGGAGCACTGGCATTACCCAGTAGGTGGCGTGCATAGATCCCCTGACACACAAAAATGGGGAATGAGCAAGAGTGATTAATATTAAATTAAAATCTACCCAGGTCTGTCTGGGTCCATTTGTAGTAAAGAAGACTACACCAATTCATTTCTAGGCATTGTAAGTATCTCAACAATGTAATACCACAGTTAGAATTTCAAAATTATATTACAGCTATAACAGCTCTATATTTTTTAAACTGTGATGTGTATATATCTAAAAAAGGCAAATAGGGATAAAATTTAAGCAGAACTTAGTTACCGACCTGGGCAATTCCTGCCATTTTAAAGATAGACAGGGCCAGATAGAAATTCAATGATGGCAAAGCAGATGGGATCCCCCGGCACTGGCAATAAATGGAGATCAGGTCAGCCACAGTTGGGATACCTCATTGGTTGGAGAGACAAGGAGAACAGAAAAGTTACAATAAGTAAAAATTAATGGAACAGATACAAAAAGATGTTAGAACGCAGAATGTCCATCTATTTGAGCCATTTTATATACCCACTGTTCTGGGTTGGTTTTTTTTTTTGCTCTTTATCATTACCTTCTGTTCCTTTCAAGCTGCCTATCGTGCTGATGACGTTAAAGGTCGTAGGCCAGAAGTGGTGCATGAGGAAGTAGGCCAAGTCTGCCAAGGGCTGCCCAGTGGTAGACAGCTCCCAGTCCAACACTGCTATTACACGTGCCTGTTGGCATAAGACACGCTTCGTAAAGAATGACGGCCAAATGAAGCAGATGAGGTAAAAATACTTGTTTGAGGGGTTGTACCTCTGTTGGATGGAATATCAAGTTGTCAAATCGGAAATCTCCGTGGACAAGTGTGACCTCGTTATCACTGGCTGGCAAATTCTTCATCAACCAATCAGACAGTTCATTCATGGCTGGAATGTCTCTGTGGGCTGCTGCGTTGTACTGCTTCGTCCAGGTGGAAACCTTTAGAGATGGAAATGTCACAACTGTAACTCCTTTTTCCAGAGAATATGTATAAAGTTATTTATTGAGTACTATACAATGTCGTCTCTCACTTGTCTCTTGCAGTAGCCTGATCCTTTTCCATACCCTTCAAGGCTCAGTGATGCCAGGTCCAGTGAGTGTAGCTTGGCCAACACCTCCACAGCTGCCACATAGAGGGCTGTTCTCTCTGCTGGACTCACTCCAGGGAGACGTTGATCACTGAATATACGCCCCTGCTCAATAGCGATAGATAAGCAAGAGTTTCAATATCAGAATCAACAAGATGTATCTTTTCTTCTCATGATAGATGACCAATTTTATGACAATAGAGTACATAACAGCAACCTGGGCATCAATTGGGTGTGTGAAGTCACCATGTGCCAGCAAGCGAAAACACATGAGTCCAAATTTCATCTTTTATCTTCAGAATATAGAGTAAAGTTCAAGCAAAACAGCAATAACTATAGTAGATGCAGGGACTTCACACTCTTGTGATATTTGGCCTTGGTAACACAGACGTACCTTCACATGCTCCATCAAGTAGAACTCTGTTCCAATAACTTCAGAATCAGTACAGTGCAAGAAAGGCTGAGGTACAGGGAAGCCAGTAGGGAACAGCGCCTTCTGCACCCGGTATTCCCTGTCCACCTGCAAACAAAGATTCACTATTTTCTACTAAAACATCACCTATAATGCACACCTTAATATATCATATCAAACACCTTTTTTTTTCATATGTCCCATAGTTATTAATAATAAAAAGGATTTCCTACACAGATACCGATATGCAATTGTGAAACCATAGGAAGCTTCTTGAAAGGGACTATGTATTCTTCAGTATCCCTACCTTTTAATGCATGTGCTCTGTCAGTCATTAAGCATAAGAAACATCTGCTGCAACAGTACTGATGAACAATGTTTAATAAAATGTGTCCCCCTGCTGCCATGGCTACACTTTATATATACTGTCAAGGGGCTAGCAGTGCTGCAAACAAATTCCCGTGCAAAAAAAACTATGACCAAAGTTATTGATTAGTCTAAGCTTACCTTGTGAGCCCCTGGCAGCAGCTCACCTGGGGGTTTCTTCCTGAGAACGAAGCTGTTTGACGGTGTTTGGATTAGGAAGGTCGGGTTTGACTGACCAGTACTGAAAGGACAACGGGTTAGCAGAAATACATTACAATATCTTCCAATTGCTCGTTTTACTGGGAAACTGGGAAACAAACCAGCTCTTATCTATCTTACCTGTACTGTCTGACCGTGAGTGTGTCATTATTTGACACAAGTGACTTGCCAGACAGGTAAGTTAAAAGTTTGCTAACATTGAATTTATGTTGCTGTCGTACAGGAGTTGTTAGCGCGTCCATGTTTCCGAGTGGATTAAAAATGTCCAGGTGCGTCGCTGAGCCAACTTTCGCAGTGTTGATAGTGGATTTAAAAAAAACAACAAAAAAAAAAAATAGATAGTAGCCGGATCGTTTACGGATGCGCACACCGACGCAATATCCGGACAAAGTCGTTATATTTATGGTTGATATTTGACTGTTATTCAGTCGTTTTAAAAGCAATAAACAGAAACAATTTAACAGTCAACTTAAATCCTCAAAAAGACTGTTAAAATAATCTTCTAATTACGTAGGAACATTTCGAGGTACTTGTGCTCGTCTTCTACACGAACGTTGTTTACGGTAACACACACCCAGACAGCTGATTTTACTTTGTGAAGACGTGTACTTACTCACTTTCTGTGCGGATTTAGCCGTCTAGACAGCACACATTTGTATTTTTATTCGTAACCTCACATTACGTTTAACGTTACATCGTCTGGCGACATTAGTTTCCCCCGTAATGGCGACAGTCGAGGAGCTCAAGCTGCGGGTGAGAGAGTTGGAAAATGAATTGATAAAGTGTAAGCAGAAGCAGTGTGCCGTGGAGGATGCCCAAAACCAGGAGCTTCACAGACCGAAGATTGACAAAATGAGCGCCGAAGTTGTGGATTCCAACCCATACAGGTGACTAGTTTTTTTTATTTTATTTATTTTAAATCTTATTATTTTAGCTTTTGACAGATTTTGTCAGGACCGCCGAGAAGGCTACGCCTTGTGAGTCACTCATCCCATATGGTGGTACTTCATAGACCACAAGCTAATCTCTGCTGTGTTTTCATTGCAGTCGGCTAATGGCTTTAAAGAGAATGGGCATCGTGGATGATTATGAGGTATGATATTTAAGGGTTGTTCGTTTTTGCAATGCAGCACTTGAGTTTGTGGTTGCTGCTGTATTCCTAACAGAAAATGACCATAATATTATAATAAGGGAATGCAAAAGGTGTGGAAAGAACTGATATCGTTCTTGAAACCTATATTCATTTTATTTGAACTAATACTAATGTAGATTTTAGTGCGTTCAAATGCAGGTGTAAAGCTTTTTTATATACTGATGGGAACCTTAAAGTTAATTGATTTTTAAAGACCATGTTTGTGCTGTTAATAATACAAATAAATGATACAAATAAAATATTAAAATAATAATAATTTCCACAGATGGCCAAAATGTCAGCACTGATAGATTTTGACCATTATATGTTTTACACTTGATATCAGACAATACCTATCAGAGCTCCCCTAAAAAAAAAAAAGGTAGCCAAAGGATGCTTTTTAGCATTGTGTAGATGGATAATCATCCTCAAACTTTGTTCACAGAAAATCCGGACATTCACAGTCGCTGTGGTTGGTGTTGGAGGAGTTGGGAGTGTGACAGCTGAAATGCTCACTAGATGTGGCATTGGTAAGGTAATACAAACTTTTTTTTTTTCTTCTGCATCACCTTATACCTGTTCATCTTGTTCAGTAGATTGTGTGCCTGTGCTTACCCCAGCCTTGTCTATGCTTGTCACAGTTGCTCCTCTTTGACTATGATAAAGTAGAGCTGGCCAATATGAACAGGCTGTTCTTCCAGCCTCACCAGGCAGGCCTCAGTAAAGTGGAAGCAGCAGAGCACACACTCAGGTACAATGTTGTTTATAGTAATCCACTTTTGCCTCAAAACAGAGACATTTGGTTTCTTCGTTCTCACGTGTTGCTCAATTTACTCAACAGGAACATCAACCCTGATGTGTCATTTGAGACCCATAACTACAACATCACCACAATGGAAAATTTCGCACATTTTATGGAGCGCATCAGGTGGGCACTCCTATCCTCCACTTTCTAGTTTTGCTATTCTCTCTCCTCAGTGATACAGGCCTTCACAGCAAATTATTCTCTGTTTTCTCAGTCATGGGGGGCTGGAAGAAGGGAAGCCGGTGGATTTGCTCCTCAGCTGTGTGGACAACTTTGAGGCCAGAATGGCCATCAATACAGTAAGAGCATCACTGTCACAAAGAGCAGAGCTGTTAAACACTGTGCTTTGTACTTGTTATTGTGAAGTGTTAATTTTGTCATGTCTGTCTCAGGCCTGTAATGAACTAGGTCAGATCTGGATGGAGTCTGGTGTCAGTGAGAACGCTGTATCAGGACACATCCAGCTCATCATTCCTGGAGAGACAGCATGCTTCGCTGTACGTTCACACACAAACAACATCTTTTGTTTACCTTTGACATTGTTGTTTGCACCAAAAAGATGTTCATCGACTGCTGCAACATTCAGAAAGAGAACTTTAGTACTTACATTGTAATATGCTTTGTTAGTGTGCTCCTCCTCTGGTGGTGGCAGCCAACATTGATGAGAAGACCCTGAAAAGGGAGGGTGTGTGTGCTGCCAGCCTACCAACAACAATGGGCGTGGTTGCAGGCATCCTTGTGCAAAATGTCCTCAAGTAAGATATTATTGTTTATAGCAAATGGGACACCTAAACGTGTATAGCTTTACATATTATACATGTATACAATGCATGTTAAGTAAAACATTATTAATTATATTCTGTCTTTCAGGTATCTGTTAAAGTTTGGCACTGTCAGTTATTATCTTGGCTACAATGCCATGCAGGACTTCTTCCCCACCATGGCTATGAAAGCAAACCCCACGTGTAATGACCGCCACTGCAGGAGACAACAAGAGGAGTACAAGGTGTGTGTGTGCTTGCTTTTTGTTTTCAAGTAGTAGAATGTAGAACCGACCAGGCACTGTACCGGTTGGGAAAACTGACTGTGTCTATCTGTGTGAATTTTCCCCTTCAGAAGAAAGAAGCCGAGCGGCCAAAGGTTGAAGTTGTACAGGAAGAGGAGGAGGCGGTTGTACATGAGGACAATGACTGGGGTGAGCAACAAACAAGTCTTTCAGCTGTCAGATCTTTAACAGTTTGCTTAGATTTGTCATTGTACAACATAATACGATATCACCTGATTTGTATTAACACACACAATTGTGCTGTGCAGGTATCGAACTAGTATCAGAGGTGACTGACGCGGAGTTACAGGCTGCATCAGGCACCGTGCCCGACCTCCCAGAAGGCATCACTGTGGCTTACACCATTCCAGCTGAGGTTAGTATTGTGTAACACAACACAGCTTTGAAGCTTTGGAAGCTTTTACGTGTTTGAGCTGTTTAAATTAAAATGCTTATATGTGATACATGATTATTGCTGACCTTTTTGTGAAGTTTTTAAATTGTAATAGTAAAGTCAATTAAATATTTACTAAGACTGATGACCTCAGGCAAGTTTCTAGTCTCCAGTTTTATTTTTACTCCATACTGACCTAAAGACTGACTGGAAGGTAGGAAATCAATCTAAAAATCATGATGCTGTGGAAGGTGGTCAGCAATAATGAAAGGCATATGGATAATTGGCAAAAAAAAAGAAATTCTTTAAATTGTACCATTTTGACACAAATATCTGTTGATAGTGGTTTGTTGACTCAACTAAATTCTGATAGTATTTTGTTTTCTCGTGTTTGAACCAGACTGCACCATGTGGAGACACAGTGGAGGAGACTGAACAGAGCCTAGAAGACTTGATGGCTCAGATGAGAAAGCTGTAGGCAGAAATCTGACAATATATTTCTGCTGTTCAGATCAGATATAAGCCTTTTCTCACGTGTCTATTCCTTTGCTTTCTTTGATAACAAGCATCATCATGAAAAAGCCAACTAATGTCAAATAAAGAATTACAGAATTCTTCTGAAGAGGGGAAATGCATGAAAAGTGCTGCTAATGGCATTTCACTCAACACAAAACATGTAAAAGCAGTCAAATGTGTAATTCGCTGATTTACTGGGAAGGTGTTTAGCACTTGGATTTGGTACAGTTGCTAATGAAAACTCTGTAAACCTAGAATAATGTCACTGTTAATGCATTAACATGTATCACAATGTGTATTTTCTACGGTTTTGATTAGTGAATGAGCGTCCCTTACCTTTAATGTATGTGCTCTGTCATTCACTCAGCTTTAAGAAAACATCTACTGCAGCAGTACTGATCAACAATGTTTAAGTTGTCTCAACAAAATATTTATTAAATGGAATACAAGCTCCTCAGTATGTTGGATGGGATTTTTGTTGTTGTCCTGTACATCTTTTACAGATTTTACATTAATACATGAATATATAAAAACACTTAAGATACATTGTATGTACTATATTTGGCAATGAAACAGTAGGTTTGGTGTCCCCTTTGGATTCATGTACATTCAGTCAGACAATAAATCATTATTTTATTTGTAACTTGCACATTCATGTGGCACCATCGTGGTTTTGGCAAATCCCTTAAGTGCCTTTTTGTAAATGAATAAATAAACAGAAATTTAGTTTTGCATAAGCACACCATGAAATCAGTACCAGAGGTGATGTTTTCTCAGATATGGTCTAGTCTTATTGTAGGAGGACACCTATTACCTTGGGCTCTACATTTTCTACTTATTACTCTTATACTTACATACTTAATACTGGTAGGTAAACATTATGTAGTGTAAACAAATGGTATCATAACATATAAAACATACCAATTTTTCACAACATGCACATTTGATTTTAGAGACAATGGCTTTCTATAATCATTAAAAAAATCTGGAATGTAGACAACAAATCTATTTGAGGTCTGAGCAGTTTGGTAAGAGATAACAGCATGATCAGACGGAAAATGTTTAATAGTTCATATTTCATTTCCATAAAAGATGCCTGAGAAGCCCCTTTTACTGGATTTTAGGAGTTTCCTTTGAGTTTTGAAAAAAGTGCATAGAGTAATATCTACTGTACAAGAAAGCATTGAATATGCCTGGTTATTAATCATGTTTTATTGGTTAGGTTATGTCAGAACCTCATGGCATTGTATTCTATTCCTATTTTGATGATATACAATTTGAGGCATGGAAATAGGAATTAAGTGTTTGAGTCTGAGTTATCACAAGTGTAAACCTGAGTTCCAGGCCCATAAAAAATAATTGATTGATTTAAAGGAAGTTCAAAGTTCCTTATGTTGTAAAATATTTATAAATACTTTTGGCAAATACACAGGTTTCACAGACTAATACGGCAGGTACAGTATATTTAACCATACCCTATACTTCCAACAGTCACAGTGTGATGACCAGGATTGTTCCCTTTTTGATAAAACCATGGGGTCTGATGTTTTTATTATTCTATGGTAGTTAGAGCTGTCAAAACAGCTTTTATTGTTCTGTGGCACTAAGTGGTTGAACAGAGTCACCTCGGGGCATGTGGGACGGCAGCAGGTCCCCTCAGACTGAATGTGTCCCCACTGGAGGAGTGGCGGGACAGGGCGTTTCCACACACCAACGATGGCTCTGCCTCCTTTATCTCCATTGCACGTTTGTAAAGCTCTGCTGCCCTTTCGAAGTCACCTTCTTCGTAGCTATTCAAAAAAGGAACAAAAAATAATTGTAATACAACATTAATGATTAATCTTCTGATAAGCCAAATGTTGAATGTAACCTCTACTACTGTACCTTAGCACAGCCAGGTTTTTTAGGGTCTCTCCGACGCGTGGATGTGAGCGCCCCAAACTATCCTCATACACTTTCAGCGCTCGTTCATAAAGAGGCAAGGCTTCACTGTGCTTCTTCTGCCAAAGACAAAGAAAATTACAGTTAACTGTGCTCTATACAACCTAAAATACAGCTACACATGCTCATAACAGTCAAATAAAAAAAATATATGTACGTAAATATGCAAGTTGGGATTAGGTTTTGATTATGTACAGACTGAATAAAGTATGATGAGCATTCTCACTAGCTGGCAGTAGATGACAGCCAGATTGACCAGAGCTGTGGCCACACTGGGGTGTTTGGGCCCAAAACTTTTTTCCCTGATTTCCAGAGACAGCTCATACAGCGGCACTGCCTTTTCCAGCTTCCCCTGTAAAACACACACATGCTCAAGTCAGATTCTCAGCCAAACACGAAATTAGCTCTTCAACAGACAGAATATTAAAGTTTCAGTGTCAACAGGCACACTTGTCTCACTCTGCGTTTATAGAGCATGGCCAGGTGTTTGAGTGTGTATGCCAGCGAGGGGTGGTCCGGGGACAAGGCCTTCTTGCGGATGTCTAGCGCCCTCTCATACATGTCCTCAGCTGTCTCATACTCCCTCCTCTCGGTGTGCAGTGCAGCCAGGTTGTTCAGTGACTGAGCGCAGTCTGGGTGATCTGGACCGAGGACACGTTGACGCATCTCCAGAGAGCGGGTCAAGAATATCTTGGCAGCACTAGTGAGGGCCAAGAGAAGGATTTTGGTAGACATAAAAATGACTAAAGAAACAAAAACAGAGTGCAGAATGTGTAACATGTCTTCCTTTGTGTGCATGCCAGCTATAACATGTGTGCCTTACTCCAGGTTGTTTTGGAGGTAGTACAGGACGCCCAGTTCATTGAGTGTCTTGGCACAGTCTGCAGAGTCTTTTCCCAGCGTCAGCTCTTCCAGCTGTAGGGCTCTGCGTCTCAGCAAAGTGAAGCCGTACTGAAGGGTGGATTAGACAAAATGCATGCACAATATGACTGATTAAGTGAGTACGACAAAGCATGTGGGTATCTGTGCTTGCAACATGCTTACCATATGACCTTTCTGGCGAGCAGTCTTCTGACGAATCTTCACTGACATCTTCCCGAGTTTCTCTGCTTGTTCATACCTGATTGTAAAATTGCCAGGTGTAAGCCATTAAACATGTTTTTTAAATGGAATCCTGCACTGATAGTGTCACTGACTGTTTTAGTTACTCTTAACTTTTAATAGGATCATAAGATCATCAACACAGATGGGATGCCTCTTTGTACAACACATCGTTTGGCAGGAACAACAAATAAGCTATATTACATGAACAACCATTATAAATAACGTCAAGCATATCAACACCAAGAGGGAACCATTTACTTGTTTTGTTTCTGGTACAGCATGGCGAGAGACTCCAGCTCGCGTGCCACGCTGACATGCTCAGCTCCGTAGGCGTTCTCACTTATCTCCAGGGCCTGCTTGTACAGCTGCTCAGCATTGCCATACTTCTTCCACTGAACATAAACCCCGGCCAGCTGGTGCAGGGAGCGAGCGACGCTGGGATGGTCCGGGTCCAAGGCTGTCTCCCTAATCTCAAGGGACCTCTGCAAGGGGGCTACAGCCTAGACAAACAGAATCAGATACATATGCAATTGTCAATATGTGCACTTTCCTAGGAGAAAATACGGTAAACATAAGGACACTTATTTAAGCTATGTAAACAAAATAAGAAAACTACCATATAAGGTAAGGCAGAAAAATAATGTGTGGGGAACAATAAACATGTTTTTTTTAGTTATTTCAAAACTAAGTAACCATGTACACTACCTGACTAGGGAGGCCAAGGTCTTTGAGGAAACGTCCTAGGGTCTCATACAGGTTTGCCAGCTTGGTCATGCCGTCTTCGCTCTCACAGCTCTTCTCATAGTGTTTCAGGGACTCGAAGTACTCAGTGGCCATGGAGCTTTTGTCTTTGCCCACATACTGCCAATAGGCTAGTAGCTCAGAGAAGTGACCCCTAGAAAAACATATATCTGTGAGACTATACCTGAATAATTGTGGCAGGCTTTGTAATATCAGCTTGTGTGTATGCACGTTTTATACCTCTTGTAGAGGTTTTGGGAGACAAACAGGTTCAGGAGGCTAAGCTGTAGTTTAGTCCTATCCTCCTGTTGTTGTAGCAGCCAGGGCAGCTCATCTGCAACACGCCAAGTCACACGGTCCTGGCTACACACACACACACACACACAAACAATGAAATGAGTTGTACTAACAGAAGAATGTGAGTTGTGATGTATGAGGAGAAGATGACTTCTCTTAAACACCTGAGTTGCTGACTAAAGTAATGTATGAGTTTCTCTCTGTAAGCAGCAGAGCTGCTTCCTCCACCCAGGAACTCCAACCTCACAGCTTCCCAAGCCTGAAAGACAAACACACATACAAAACAAAAACATATGACAAAACAAATGATCTATTCATACAGTTTCTGTTCCATGAATACTATTTTTTATGCATTTTTTAATGACTTTGTGCTCTATTATATTCCGCTGGCCGAAGCCTGATTACCTGCAGGTGCTGAAACCTGATGAGCCCACAACGGAGAGTTACAATGCAGAGTCTGTTCAGATGGTAAAGCAGAGAGGACAGGACAGGAAACTCCACATCTGGGAAATGATCTAGCACCTCTGATTCGCTCACTCCATTATGGCTGGCACATACAAGGCACAGAATCTAAGCAGAAAAAGCAAAGACAAAAACCAGCACTTATTCCTCTGCCACAAAGAAAGCACAATGTAAAGAAAAAAAACAAATCTTATGTGAATGACACACTTTACCATTAAATATTAATTAAATAGTGATGAGAAAAGAGACATTTTTGTTATTTTGTCTGGACATATATCACCTCTCTCATAATGTGTCGCTCTCTGTCTGTGTTGAGGGAGTTCAGTGTTATCTTTAGCGCCTGGCGGTAGAGTGACATGGTGTCCTGACACTGTAGACACTGCTCCAGGCTCTTCTCCAGTGACCAACATGATATACCGCTGGGCAGTAACAAAACACGGCAAAATCAACAAAAAATTAAACATATGTACCCAGACATTCAGAGAAATCAACATTAAACTTAACAAAGGTGAACTGCTTTCAACCCAAATTGTTTAAGAACATTATGGAACTAGATTGTTTTAATTGTCTAAATGTGAGTGAGAGTTTGAAGCTGTTAGATGCTGCTCCTGCACTGCTGCCATTGCAGCTAGTTGCTGCCACCTTTGGTGGTGCAAGTTACTGTGAATAATGAATGCTGAATTACACAAGCTAAAGTTGAAAGCTGCAAGAAATTGCTGAAGCAATGCTGAAAATGGCTGAAAAACCAGTTGTCAATTGAAATGCATTGCTTTGAAAACTTGGAAGCTGAAATGTAAAACTGGAGCTGGGAACTAAAGCGCATTCGCTGAAGAAGCAGGAAATTTTCCCTTAAAAAGTGATGTAAAAAATAAAACTAGATTAAACAGAGCTTTAGACCTATAAAGCAG